TTCTCAGTTTAAACTTTTGTTCCGTGGTTTATGTTCTATTCTGAATAAAATATTGACATTTGCCATCTCCACATCATTGCATTCAGTTTTTATTCACAATTTGTTTGGTGTCCCAACTTTTTTGGAATCCGGTTTGTAGTAAAGGAGGACATGCACTGGGTTTGTCTGACAGGAGGATGATAGGATTGGATGGAGGCAGATGATCAACCATTGAACGCAAAAGATGCCAGAAACACTTCATGTACAGAGACAACAGTGCCACCTAGTGGTCAAACATTAAACAAAAAGTGTGTGTAGTCAAAGTCACAGCAACAACAGATCATCTCAGTCAAACTAAGTAAATAGGTAAAGCAGAAGATAAGAATGAGTCAATATTTAGTTCACCTGAACTGTTTCTCTTCGCACATGAATTGGATCAGTCCTTCCTCATCTGGCTCGTTCCACTTCAGCTCCACTGTAGAACAATCCACCACTTCTGGCTTCAAAAACAAACCCCTGGCTTCTTTGTACAGCCAGTCTTCTGGAGCAGGGTGCTTCTGCATAAAGACAAGCATTGCGCACACACACAGAATCAGAACCAGCACCTCGCTCAGCTGACCTGCACTACAGACTACAGCAACCTTTAACTTACATTGGAATCAATGTTCTCTAGAATCTCTTCGATGCTGCCGTGCTGTTTGATGAGGTCGATTGCTCTCTTTGGGCCGATCCCCTTGATAGTGCCGCAGTAGTCACAGCCCAACAGAATACACAGGTCAATGAACTGGGATGGAGTACGGAAAGGAGGAAATGGCAAGAAAGACTGAGATTAATGTTGTGTTTAAAGCTCCACAGCACAAACATCTGATAGCCAGGAGAGTACCACCACATATCTTTGAACAAACAGCACAGGATGGTGACACGCACCAGGTGATAGTTGTGTCATCATGAGAGAAGCACGGGAAGTGCTTCAGATTTAAAGAGAAACTTATTTATATAAACTTTTGTAAAAGTCAGGAAAAAAAATGTACCTGTTCATTGGTGAGGCCGATGTCCTGCAGGATGCGATTGAAGTGGAACTCTTGAATAGGAAGTTTCCTGAAACAATAATGAACAGCTTATAGTTAATGACTACTATTTATGCTGCTATAGTGGGTATCAAAATACCAAATCCTAAAACCTCGAAACTTGGTTCAAATTTATGAATTTTAAGCATGAACTTATTCATTTAAACCATCTCATATACACATATATTCATATGGTAAACATAAATCTGATGTAGAATTAAGGCAACAGCTTTAAGTCATTTCCACTCTGCTAATATCTCTGTCAAAGGCGATACCAGTTCATACTTTGCTTCACTGGCCGTGAGATGTCTGAGAAGGATGTTTGTCCCAAAGGTCAGCCCGTCCATATCCTCCGTTGCTGTGGCAAACACCTTCCCTGCTTTAACCAGAGCAGCACAGCTGGCCTCAGCTTCACATGGAGCCTTTAAGGAAATGAAAAATTAATAAATAAAATTACATCTAACAGAATGATACACACAATCTGTCTTAATACAACTACCTCAAACTGCACTGCAGAATCCCAATTCATGTATATTTTTAAGCTTTAGGCATAATTTCATTACATTTCTGTCTTTCTCTGTGATTGACCCCAGCTGGACTGTGTAACTGTAACTTGGTATGGGTAAGAGGATAAGAAGCCTGTTATATTGTAAAAACACTAAAACACAAATCATTCATGGGAGGGACGTCTCCAAACTGTGTAATAAGTGTGGAAATATTCTTGATGCCACAAAAATGTGTAGAAATAGAAATCTCACCTCAATGTAAGGCACTCCCATCAGGGTCAGGAGCTTCTTACACTCATCATTATGCTGCTTGGTGACTTTAACCAGACGCTTAGTGAACTTGTCAATGTTCTCTTGCTCCCCTGGTTTGAGAGAGAATAAAATCCAATTACTGTATTTTCCGGACTACAAAGCGCACCTGAATATTAGCCGCACGAGCTAAAATCAGGGGAAAATCCTGTTTTGTACATACATTAGTCGCACCTGACTAAAAGTCGCAGGGTTCAAAGCTTGTGCAAAAAGTAGCCCGACAATTACGGTAGACTTTCATGCCCAAAGGAAAACATGTTCACAGACTTTCCCATAATACTTGTGATATAGTCTAAGTTCAAGTTTGGTTTAAAAACTAGCAACTTCCAACAAACCATGCTGACTTTAAACTCTTTGACCAACACCCTCCCAAAAGTCTTTACCAATTTCTTGGGCCTGGGCAAGCATCTTCTCAGCTTCGGCTCTCCTCTCCCCTCTTTTCTCAAGCTAGAAGATGAAGACACAAGCAGAATAAGAGAGAGCTGTCAGTATGAAACGGAGCACGTAAGGAGTTGCTGACATAAGTGAGTGACAGAAATCCACTGCACTGAAAACAAATGTTTCCATTTGCAGATGGGTGAGGAGCAGAGGAAATCCTTACTCACCTCTGCTGACTTGAGCTGTGGGGGCTTGCCGTCAAACACATACGCAGGTTTGATTCCATGTTCCAACATGCGGATGGTGCGGTAGAACATTCCCATTAGGTGGCTTGAAGAAAGGAGTAAAGGCAAATATCATTCTTGTGTGTTCAGACCTGAGCTACAAATCACTAAGTTTCAACAGAGGAACTACTGCATCTGCAAAGGATCTACAATTAGGTCTTCTTATTCAATTTTAAATGTTTATTGTTGCAGCAGTACCTTGTTGTCTCTCCATCTTCATTCTGTAGAACGTTACCATCCTGTCGCACAGCAATCAGAAACTGGTAGATGCACATAGAGGCATCAATAGCAATTTTCCTGCCTACAGGAGGTGAAAAGAGGTGCTTGTTCAACAATGACATAAAGAGTTAGCATTCCATCATGCATCATACAGACTGTATGTTACAACAAACTGAGGGTAGACCGACACTCAAGCATCACTTATGTATAAGGAGTGTATTCTGGAACAGTTACCAAAGAAGTTCTTTATGTCTTGCTCTTTAATGGCACCAGGGGCCTGGTCAGCAATTAGCTTGGCAAGTCCGTGTATTCCCATTGTGTCAGAAAATCTGAGAACAAGAGAGAGAGTGAAGCTCTTGGATTAACATGCTGTGTCATTTCCATCCCAGCTGCATTTCACAAAGGCCCCATCACTGGTACAGGTCTGCAGAAGCTTGAGAAAACAATGATGTCACAGTACAAGTCATTTACAAATACGTACCTTTTTTTTTTAACGGAGGCTTCGTGTCAATTAAAAGACGAGCTCCGCGTCATTTGTTATCTCTCAGCAATGTGTGTGCCAGGTTTGTGAATTTACAATGATCTTTAAATCGACGGGTTCATGTAAGCAAACTGGAGAGCAGAAATGTGTCCTGACTTTGATCTACTAGTGTGTACCAGCTGACCTCAATGAAAATGCCATAGGATGCAGCCATCTATTATCAAAGCTAGCTTTCAGGTTATATAATGTTAACATTTACAACGGACTCACCAATTTAGTAAAACGCGTCAGCTCGTGCAGCTATTCCACGTCCTAGAGCGCGAGGAACTGTGGCTGTTTCGCGGGAAATCAAATAGCAGGCATTTTCTATCGATCTATCGAGCGCCGCACTTCCAGGTACTCCTAAAACCCGTGCATCGATAGTGCAGGGTTTATTAATCAGGCCTGAGTTCCGACACGGAAGACCCGCGAAGGCACTGATTGGTTATTTACCGTTGAAGGAAATCCGGTTTATTGGAAAAAGGGGGAAAAATAACACCGTCGAAAGCTGCGAACTCCTACCTTTTAGTTCATAATTTCCAGAGGCGTTAAAGACCGTAAATACTGCACGTTTATTTTACATTGCTTGTGAGTGAAATTTGTCACCGGCTGGGATTAACCGGTAACATTTCAGGTGTATTCTTGTTTCCCCGCCCAATCCGGAAAACTCAGCCGAGTCGTCGTTATTTTTATTTTGTAAGGTGACGTGGAGTCGGAGCTCTTCTTCTTCTTCCACACTAGCCCATGTGTGAATAAAAGTACTCAGTGTACCCGGATATGAAGGTAGTGATATTACGTTTACACAAAGTATCAAGAATTTCCAAGATGCTCGGCTGTAAGGCTGAATCTTTACACTGAGCTCCAGTGTAGCGGAGAAGAGAGCAGCCTAGTGGGGCCTGAAGTCCAAGGAAGCCGGCGGACAGACAGATTTCGTTGGATCTGGAGCATCGGGACTGACGACGGAGAGAACGGTAGATCGACTGTGTTGATTTCGTTGTTGTAGTCTTTTTTTTTAGCGAGCATGTGCTAATTTGGAGTAAAACAGTGTTGATGTGGATGAATCGCTTGCCTTACCTAAATTAAGGAGGCCCCCTTTGATTATAAGCATGCAGCTGTCCACAGAAACAGGACAGAACTTGTAGTGTTGCGACCTTGCTCTTACTGCTTATTACAGTTCTTGTATATACTATTACTTATCTCACTGTGTGAGGCATTTCTGCCTGTTTGCTGCTATTATTCATTCAACTGATTTAACTCTTTTGGCTTGAGTCTTTCTAAATACTTTATGGGCTTCTTATGTAGTCCTGTAATTAGTAAAAAGTTCAGATGTGCATAGAGCTGTGACGCTACTCTTTAGTTCGTCACAGGGGACGATCAAAAAGTGATCTGGCGTATGTCAAAGGCATTGCAACTTTACCACTCAGACCAAATTTGCATTGCTGTGAAATTCAACACTAATGCCACATCAGCAATAACTTTAGGTCGCCCTTCTGAAGTTCTCTTTCTATCACTTGCATAAAAAATGTGAGGATTGTTGTTTTTCAGGAAATGTAGTTGATAGGGACACATTTGTGTGCTTTGTAGAGTATGGAAATGAAAGGGGAGGTGTGGCATTGTATCATAATGGGTCACCATTCCAACACAAACTTAATACATGTTCATATGCAAGTTAAGCATACCATGAACACTAATGTTTGTCTAATATACTTTGAAATTGAAAGCAACTCTGAAACTCTGCACCTGGATGAAAACTGAAGCTCTGAGCAATGTTACTTATTTTTTGCTCTTGTAAACTCCAACATACAGAAATTGACGGTGCTTATTTGATTCCAAACCCTCTTTTGGGCTGATGAAACTGATGAAATGCATTGCAATTCACTGTGGTTACACAGCATCTGTGTTTGAGCCAGTTTCATCATTTTCTGCTGTGTTTGTTGAAGCATCGCAGGAATGACGTTGCATAAAATTGTGCAGTTCTACCTGTCTGCGTTAAGATAATTACGTGCCACATTTGAAGTGCACAAAAGTGAGAGACAGGCTAGCTTAAAATGAACCTGAACTGATAAGCTGTCGTGTTTTCAACAGGGGCCATGTGTCGTGGAACAGGACGCACGTCAGGTGGCTGTCAGAGGATGATGGTGCTGCACTCTGTCTTGATCCTGTTCTTGTTCTTAGGCTGGGCTTTTGGCTACAAGATTGGAGACAATGTGACTCTTTATGTCAACAAAGTGGGCCCTTATCATAACCCCCAGGAGACATATCACTATTACACATTGCCTGTTTGCAGGCCGGAGAAGGTCAGTGTTAGTTCTGTGTCACTGCGTGGTGTTGGTCTGTTGTAACAAAACAGAGGAACTGGAGACATGTAGATGAGAGTGTAATGATAATATCTAAATCTCAGGGCTTACATCTCCAGTTCCTGTGAACATATTTTTTATCTCAGAGTCCAAAGAAAAGACTTTACTATGTTATATTTTATCCCATATCTGTTTGTTTCTACGTGAGGATGTGATAATTGAGGTGAAGTGTTACTCCCAACCAAAAAATCTGGAAACACGTATTAATTCATGTTGAGTAAAGAAGTGTCTTTTTATAGAAAGATCATGGCATTTTCTTGTAAAAATGTGATAAAGAAAATGACATCTTGAAACATAAGAGTAATAATAATAATTTTGTGTAACTGATTTGTTGTTAGGAATTCTCACATTCCACCAAAACACAAGCTTTTTCTTTAAGTTGTTAGTTTATTTAATGGCTCACAGGTTTAAGGGAAAAGTCATTATTGGAAGTTGGATTGTGTTGGTAGCAGTTTAGCCCGCATTTTAAAGGCAGGAGTAACATTGTATTGATTTTTATTTAGCTGGTAGTTTTAAAATAACTGCTCTCAGAATTATGATCAACTAATATGGCACTTTTTTTAAACATCCTGTATATTAAATGCTAATACTTCTTTCATCAGGTGCATCATAAATCTCTGAGCCTGGGAGAAGTGCTGGATGGTGACAGAATGGCTGAGTCTTTATATAACATCCGCTTCAAAAAGAACGTGGAGAAAACAATTCTCTGCCAGCTCACTCTTTCAGAAAAACAGGTATTTACATAAGTAAATTTGTAATAGTTAACATGCTTAACATCAGAAAACTGGTTGGTAATAAACTGCAAACATTGAAAGCTTTGACCAGCACCGCTTACAAATGAAACAAAAATGCTATTCTACTCTTCAACTCGAGTTTCCCATACGGAAAACTGAAAAAGGTGACCTCTAGCGGCAACATGGGGTATTAACCCAAAAATGGCTCCTACAACCAAGGTATGCAAAAGAGATATAAAATGACAGTAGAGTGGATGGGCTACAGCATCTGTCAGGACAGCAGAGGCTACAGTTCACACAGGCTCACCAAAGACTGGAGAAATGTTTCCTGGTCTGATGAGTCAGAACTGGCTGACCACCTCCGTGTACCATCTTCTGCTTCAAGGAGGTTAACAAACCATGTCACAAAGCTTAAATAAACATGGCATTGACTGTGCTCAAAATCTCTGAAGAATGTTTCCTGGACCTTGTTTAATAGAAATCAAGGCAATTCTCAAAGTGGCCAGAAATTATGTGCAAACGGATTTCCTTTTTAGATCTGCTGGTCTGTAGCAGTTATTTTTTCTTTTCCTGGATAAGATAATAAAACTAAAACTTTTGGGGGTTTTTGCATTTCATGGAAGTCTTTCATCCTTTGTTACCTTGGATACATGTATCCGTATCAGGATCTAATCCCTCTTGATATTTGCTGTTACACCTGTACTTTGTTGTATGCTGAACCTTGAAGTCTGTAAAATAGCAGTTTCACATATAAACATCTGTACAACTTTAGCACAGCTGTTTCATTATGTGAGGCCACAACCTTGTTCTAATGAAAAAAAAAAGAGGGACATATTAATGAATATTTTAACAAATGTAAATGTGCCACATTATAGCCCTTGGCTAATTTCCATCTGTAGACTCTCTGCCAGGTTAATGTTACATACAAGTTAATAGCAACATACAGAGACACTATTTCTAGACCATGTATATCGACAAGGACAAAAAACAGTGATCCCATCATATTAGAACAAACAATGACAACAACTACTGCTTAAAATATGTCATCTGTTAACTGTTGGTGCTTGTTTTTTTCCTTGGTAGGTGGACGAGCTTCGTGAGGCCATTGAGGAGCTGTACTACTTTGAATTTGTCCTGGACGATATTCCAATTTGGGGTTTTGTAGGATACATAGAGGAGAGTGGTTTCCTGCCTCACAGCCACAAGGTAGAAACTATAGAAATGTTTTATTGATATGCTAAGCTTTTGGTAAACCAAGCTAAGCATCATGCCTCCTACTTCTAAACTCCTCCTGCCTCTTTTCTGTTCTATCAGGTGGGTTTGTGGACTCACCTGGATTTCAACATTGAGTACAACGGCGACTATGTGATCTTCGCCAATGTCTCAGTAAAAGATGTTAAGCCTGTTCCCTTAGAGGAGGGGGCAGGTGCAGCAGTGGGGGGTGTCGGAGTAGGCGGAGGCAGCCTGACGGTGACCCATACCTACAGCGTGCACTGGTTTGAATCATCTCTGCCCTATTCCCGGAGAGCCGAGCGTCTCAGAGACTACTCGTTCTTCCCCAAAACACTGGAGATCCACTGGCTGTCCATCATCAACTCACTGGTGCTGGTGGTGCTGCTTCTTGGCTTCGTCATCATCATTCTCATGAGAGTCCTTAAGAATGACTTTGCTAGGTGAGTAAGTGACGCAAAGACAGTGAATAATGCATTGCTTGAATATAAAAGACAAAACAGAATGTCAGGTCTCTTTGTGCCTTTAATGTGGTTTAATAATGGGTTGGCTGAGCACAGAAGGTTGGAGGTGCAATTCCCAGCCAACCACTACCAGCCTGATTTGTTGATATAAGGCATGCTTTTACGTTGTTAACACCAAAATCAAAAGGCCAGACAGTTTTTCTAGTCTTCTCATATCAGACTTTGGTAAGCTGATTGAGATTGTAGCCCCAGTTTCCTGTTCTTGGCTGACAGGAGTAGCACAAGGGAGTTCTGCTGCTTTACGCCCATCTGCTTCAAGGTTGGACATGTTTTTTATTCAGATGCTCTTCTACGTTGGTTGTGACAAGTGGTTATTTGAGATACTGTTGCCTTCCTGCCAGCTCAAAGCAAAGCAATGAGCAACTTACTGGATATT